TTACACCAGGACACATGGTCGCTGCAGTCCTTTAGACTTCAGAATGCTGATCACAGAGAGAGCGCTTGAATTTATGACATCCTAGGTAACATTCCCTGTGAGGTACGTTGCAATCATTACTGTTTTGACAAAGAGGGAACCATAGTAGGGAGGCTGCAACCCACCCAAGTTGCACAAGTTCAGAAGGCCAAGAGCGGGGTCCTAATCTAAACCCAGTTCTTCATCCATTTCAGAACACAAATTCTATGTGTTCAAGTCCAACTTGTGGATCGACTAACACACTAAATAAGATACAGCAGGACAGCTGGATTTGAGCCCGGTAGCATCTTAGACACCAAAGAGATTCTCTGGGTTGATACCTGTCAAAGGGAGCTTTGACTCTCGGAAGTTCATTCTCCGAAATCCTTGTTGGTCTCTAAAGTGCTACTGAACTCAAATCTAGATTAAGGGTTCAATACTAAACAGGTCTCAGTTCCTTGGAATACCAGCAGTCGGGAGGCGGGGGCAGGCTTGATTCAGCCACCTCTCTGAATATCCTCCAGGCCCCCAAGTAGGGGTCAATCACCAGAGGTCGCCATGACTTCCAGTCCATCAGTGGCTGTTAGCCACATCATATAGATGGAACACTCTGTCTGGGGCAGTGACGCTCTGTATTCATGGTCAAACTCTCCTCCAATACCACATTTCTTCCCGTCAAATTTCTTCATTGTTCAGCTTTCACACCCGTACATAGTAATAAGGAGCACTACGGTATGAATTATCTTCATCCTGGTTACATTTAAGAATCTTTTCTAGCTCCTTCATCGCCGTTCTTCCCTCCTTCATTGTATCCTCACAACAGTCCTCTGAGGTAGGTTAGGCAAAAAGAGAGGGATGGGCCCAAAGTCAGCCCAGCGGGCTTCCATGATACCAGTCGGGATTCAAACCCGAATCACCCAGACTGTAGACGATACCTCTAACAGCCACACTGGCTCTCGGTGACCCCTTACACCAGTTCATCTCATATATTTATCAGGTTAATTGGGTCTGAAACAGTTGGGAACTCCCCCACACCGTCTTCTTCCCAGAATCAAAAGGGAATTCCTTCCCAGTCATCATGTATTTTATTTATTTATTTAAAACATTTCCAAGCCACCTTTCTTCTTCACTGAGGTCAAAGCAGCTTACAGCAAAAACAACATACATTTACAAACATTTTATTTATTTTGGTGTAGTGTAGTTAAGTTCGGTGCAGTGGTTAAGTGAGTGGACACTAATCTGGGAGAACCGGGTTCGATTCCCCACTCCTCCACTTGTTCCTGGCTGGATGACCTTGGGCAAGCCGTAGTTCTGATAAGAGCTGTTCTTGAAAAAGGGCAGTTTCTGTCAAGAGCTCTCTCAGCCCCACCTACCTCACAGGGTGTCTGTTGTAGGGAGGGGAAGGGAAAGGAGTTTGTAAGCCACTCTGAGACTCCTTTGGGTAGTGAAGGGCGGGGGATAAATCCCATCTGTTCTTCTTCTTCTTCTATTTATTTATTTAATTCAATTTGTATCCCGCCCTTCCCACCGAGGTGGGCTCAGGGCGGATTACAGTAAGAATTTTAAATGCATTAAAACACCAATGCATTAACACAATGCAGAGTCATAAAACTATATGCATGATCTAACAAGTAACACATGACAAATAAGTGCAAATAATGTGCTGGCGGCGATAGCATTGCCTCCTAATCCCTGTAGGCCATGATATGATGGAAAAAACAAAATACGGCCAAAGGCTATAGCTGTTGGCATCACAGGCTCTTGCTGTTAATGTAGAGGTCCTTGCCCCAGGTCAGTTGGTAGCGGCTCTAATCAAAGGCCTGCACAACTCAGGGCTGCAAATAAACCTAACTGTCTTCAGCTGCCTCCCAAAGATCTCAAGTGAGGGGGTCAGGAGTGACTTCCTGAAGAAGTTTTTCCATATTCGTGGGGCTGCAACCAAAAAGGCCTTGTTTTTGCGTACCCACCAGATGTCCTTCTTTGATTGATGGGACAGTCCGGAGGGCCTCCCTCTGTGATCTTAATTCCGGGGCAGGAACACATGGGAGAAGATGGCCCATTTCCCCATATTCTCCCCCCCCCCCAATCCTTCACACACAACACTCAGTACTGATATCTTGGCTACAAAGATACTTCTAGACGTGGCGGCCATCCCAGTGGACGTACCCTGACCACTAAGCCAAAAAAAAAAAAAGATATCGCTTACAAGCAATTTATCATAAAACAGTTTTGCAGAAAACACGGCTTAAGACCGCCAACACAACGCTACGGGGCATCCGCTTACACGGAAATCCTATTAACACTTCTGTACTGAAGTTAAGAAGTGTCACTTCTAATTTCACTCGCAGCCCTGCAGTATGGGCAACGTACTAAAAAAAAAACAAGAGGAAGCAAGACCGAGGAACCTTCACTGGCAAGCATCCAGGAGGCGTACAGGAGAGCTGCGAGTATGCAGGTGGTGCCTCGAAACGCAGAGATAAAGGCAAGGGTTTCTCTAACCGCCTGCCTGGAGTGAAATATCCCCAGCGAAGTCAGTTAACAATCGTGGTCTGCCCCCACCGATTGTATAGGCAATATCCGTTATTAAAGCAACCGCGCTTTGATTACTGGGAACCTGTTTTGAAGCAAATAAAAGACCATCTGATCTTTAAAGGAAGGGGGGTAAAGGCACATAAGAGATAACCGTCCCTGGCTTGCCAGAAGCACGGTAATTTAACCCCAGCTGTTCGACAGCAGATCCCAACGAGGTGGAAATTATATACATTGTATTCAAGGCAGGCAAGAGCAAACAGGATGAATTTGGGAAGCGAGCCCTTCAATTTTGTCACTGCCATCTGCGGGGAGCGTCTTTCGACCTCGGCGCGTTCCTCGGAAAGGGGAGCATGGATTGCCAAGCAGGGGGCCGAGCCCAATGCAAACTGGGAAGAGTCCAGACAGAGACATCAACTTTGTTGGACACAAAATGAGCTTTTCTATATACCTCCTTAAGGGCTAGGCGAAGGTGAGATACCAAATGCTTCATGGCCACTCGAGCTGCAGCCAGCTTTTGCTTGATTTAGGATCACACTGCTGGTGTTGAATTCGAAATCAGCAAGAAGATCTTCCCCCACCATATATGAACACATGACGCTGCCTCCTACTAAATCAGACCCTGGGTCCATCAAAGTTAGTATTGTCTACTCAGACTAGCAGTGGTTCTCCAGGGTCTCAGGCAGAAGTCTTTCCCATCACCTCCTGCCTGGTCCTTTTAACTGGAGATGCCCGGGATTGAACCTGGGACCTTCCGCATGCCAAGCAGAGGCTCTTCCACTGAGCCACGGCCCCTCTTTACAGATCTCCAGGGTCTCAGGCAGAGGTCTCTCCCATCCCCTCCTACCTGGTCCTTTTAACTGGAGATGCCAGAGATTGAACTTGGGACTTTCTGTATGCCAAGCAGATGCTCTAGCACTGAGCCACGGCCCCTCCCTATACCTGGCAGCTCAGCAGGAGAATTGGGGGGGGGGGCAGGGAGTAACTGTCTCACATCTTGCCAAGTGTGACATCACTACAGGCCCAAAACCAGAAGTTACATCATCAGACTGGGGTGACTCCTAGAGAATTACATGGATGTGTGACATCACTTCTGGCAGAATAACAAAAGTGGCACCATTACATCGGGGTGTTGTTCTAAGATTCTCCTCAAACTCTATGGTTTTATAGAATTTGGAGGGGATCCTAGAGCATCATGCTGACACAATCACATCACTTTCATACAAAACCAGAAGTGACATCATCAGAGTAGCAATCTAGGACTCCCTGAAAACTCTATACTTAAACCATAGAGTTGAAGACGAATCCTAGAGCATTGTGTTAATGTCACCGCAGGTTTCATGCCAGAAGTGATACTCCATATTGGTGTGATGCAGAATTCCCCCCCCCCTTTCCTCCCACCAGCCTGTTGAGTGGTGGTAGGGAATTGGGGGGGCAGACCCAGAGGTTGCCCACTACAACAGGAGACCCAGCCCGAACCCTACCCCCCACCCCAGGCCTGAACAAGTATCAACCCTGCTTAGGTTCTGAGATTGGGCTATGCCAAGCCACCTTCCCTCACAAGTCAACAATGATATCTTCAAAAAAAATTGCAGAGGTATGAATACAAACATGAAATGTGGTATGCATGGGAGAACTGTCAGGCCACAACAGCCCTGGAAAAGGTCCCCCGTCCTCCCCACAATGGGGAGCACTGCAATGAACTAACATTTCATTCCAGGTATCCAGAGAAAAAACTGTACAAGGTTGTGAGGGAAACGTCGAATTTGTACCGCAAATGGTCAGAGGTCACACTAAAACTTGGCAAAAGGGTGAAAATAAGCTTCTCCCCTCTAGCTTCCAGTCCACAGAGACACCAGGAAGTGAATTCATATGCCAATGGAGGTAGCCAAAAGAACAAAGACCACACACGAACAATGAAGATGGGAGCGGACCCTTCAGGGAGCTGGTTGGTGATTTTCCATTAGGGGGGATGGGAAGGGACCCTTGGGCGATGTAGCAGAATCTCTGTCCACTGCGAGAGAGAGAAAGGATTATTGGGGAGTCTGTAGGGGAGAGATAAACCAAAACTCAAGGAAAGAGACCAACAAAAAAGCAGGTGGAAACACAACCAGAAGAGAAACGTGAAATCTTTAAGATCATACTGCTTACCTCCGAGTTCACCATTAGCAGTGGGTATGTTTTAGACTTATGGCAATATGTGCATTAGGCATTTCTTCCCCCTTTGCTGAGATATTGCTAGTAAATTTCCACTCAACAGCATGCCCTCTCTTTTTGTAACCAATGACTACTCACAGAAGTTATATTTCTATATCTAAAGGATAGATAGATAGATAGATAGATAGATAGATAGATAGATAGATAGATAGATAGATAGATAGATAGATAGATAGATGATAGATAGATTTCTTTTCTTTTTCTGAAATTGAAGCTATTATGGTCCATCTGAGGGAGGGACTGTGGCTCAGAGGTAGAGCGTCTGCTTCGCACGCAGAAAGTCCCAGGTTCGATCTCTGGCATCTCCAGTTAAAAAAGACCAGACAGTAGAAGATGTGAAAGATTCTGTCTGAGACCCTGGAGATCTGTAAAGAGGGGCTGTGGCTCAGTAGAAGAGTCTCTGCTTGGCATACAGAAGATCCCAGGTTCAATCCCCGGCATCTCCAGTTAAAAAGGTCCAGGCAGTAGGAGATGGGAAAGACCTCCGCCTGGGACCCTGAAGAGCTGTAAAGAGGGGCTGTGGCTCAGTGGAAGAGCCTCTGCTTGGCATGCAGAAGATCCCAGGTTCAATCCCCGGCATCTCCAGTTAAAAAGTACCAGGCAGGAGGTGATGTGAAAGACCTCCACCCGAGACCCTGAAGACTTGTCAAGAGGGGCTGTGGCTCAGTGGAAGAGCCTCTGCTTGGAATGCAGAAGATCCCAGGTTCAATCCCCGGCATCTCCAGTTAAAAAGGACGAGGCAGTAGGTGATGGGAAAGTCCTCCGCCTGAGACCCTGGAGAGCTGTAAATATGAACAAATCTAAACTCATGAACAATGTTTCAAGAGATTAACACTTCAAAGAGTTGTCAGGTTCACAACATGAAGCTTGCAAGACTATGGGGAGCTGGTAAGAAGAATCGTCAGGTCTTAAAACCTCCCTTTTTTGTGAAGCAGAATTTTTGGAAGTGTAGTAATAAAGGCAAAATTAGCTCCGTGTTTCTCAAGACTTAGAACACATAGGGTTTTTTTGTTTTTGTTTTTTTAATTATCTTTATTGATTTTTATATGACATACAGAACATAAAGCGAAGATACAGCGTAATTCAGTGCCTAAAAGTACAAAAACCTTTGGTAAATGAAAATACTAACTTACAGGGTTAGCCATTTAAGAAAGAGAGGGTTGGGAGGGAGGATGTCGAGAGCTTGTAAGTAGGAGACAACAGGGTACCAGGTTGACAAAAATTTGGATGTATGTGGTGTGTCTGAGTGTGAAACCTTGAGTGAATCAGAAATTTTTGCCATAACAAGATGTTCCCAGAGCTCGTCCTGCCAAGTTGTTATGGAAGATGCTGTTGGGGATTTCCAGCTAGCGGCAATGGATAAGCAAGCTACTGCCAGAAGAGCTGAGATAAGATCCCTTTTTTGGTCCTGGATGGATTCGTCCCAGTGGTTCCGCAGGAAGGATTCTGGTGTGAGAGGGATATTTTGAGCTATGATGTTCTCCATCTGTAGTTTTACATCTGTCCAAAACTGTTGGATCTTGGGGCAGGTCCACCAGCAATTCAGGTAAGTCACTAGTTGTCCACAACCTTTCCAGCATATGGGGCTACTGGTTCTGCTAAATTTGTGTATTTGCTGGGGGGTTAAGTACCATCCGGAGACAGTTTTGAAGAACTGGGATTTTATGTTGTACAGCAGGAAGGATTCTGGCGTGCAAGGGATATTTTGAGCTATGATGGTCTCCATCTGTAGTTTAACGTCTGTCCAAAACAGTTGGATCTTGGTGCAGGTCCACCAGCAATGCAGGTAAGTCCCTAGTTGTCCGCAACCTTTCCAGCATATGGGGCTACTGGTTCTGCTAAATTTGTGTATTTGCTGGGGGGTTAAGTACCATCCGGAGACAGTTTTGAAGAACTGGGATTTTATGTTGTAAATCGTTGAGCTATTCGCTGGAGAGTTCCAGATGATTTCCCAGTCTATCTCTTGCCAGTGCACGTCTAGCTCTTCCTCCCACTTTATTTGGTTGAAAGGGGGGATCGCCAGGGGAGTTTTAAAACATGGTGACAGCCTACAGTAATTCACAGGTGGCTAAATTCTCCCACTACCTAAAAGCCTTCCTGGTTCTTCATCATGATCATCATCATCATCATCATCATCATCATGATCATAATCATCATCATCATGTTGTTGTTGCTGCTGCTGCTATCAAGCTGCAGCAGACTTTTGCTGATTCTGTAGAATTTTCAAGGCAAGAGACATTCAGAGGCGGTTTGCCATTGCCTGCCTCTGTGTAGCAACCCTGGACTTCCTTGGTGGTCTCCCATCCCACTACTGAACAGGGTCGACCCTGCCTAGATTCCAAGATCTGATGAGATCTGATGGGATCGGGCTAGCCTGGGCCATCCAGGTCAGGGCAAGAGATGAACAGAAGTGGTTTGCCTATTGCCTGCCTCTGCGTAGCAACCAATGTTCCCTCTAAGCTGAGTTAATGTGAGCTAGCTCACAGTTTTTTATCCTCCCCAGATTTTTGTCTCAGCTCAGGAAGGATGGCTCCAGAGGAAACTAATTTATGAAGCAGCCAGATCGCTCTCTCACAACTTTAATGCCAGTAGCTCACAAATTAGAATTTTTGCTCACAAGACTCCACAGCTTAGAGGGAGCATTGGTAGCCACCTTGAACTTCCTTGCCGGTTTCCCCATCCAAATACCAACCAGACCCAACCCTGCTTAACTTCTGAGATCTGACAAGACCAGACTAACCTGGGCTATCCAGGTCAGGGCGGTTCATACTTGGTAAGATCCAAAGAAGGCAGGCCTGCTGGGTCTGAGTTATTCTTATAAATGAGACTCCCAAGGCCCCTCCTGCATCCACTGGGGAGGTGCTGTGGCTCAGTAATAGAGCCATCTGCTTGGCGTGCGGAAGGTCCCAGGTTCAATCCCTGGCATCTTCTGATGTTCTTCTCTGGGGAAGGCCTCAGCCTCCATGCCCTGTTGTTGGAAATCCAGAGGAACTGGTTGGGCAATGTGTGAGACAGGATGCTGGACTAGATGGACGATTGGTCTGATCCAGCAGGGCTCTTTTTATGTTCTTATCCTGGGAAGGCCTCAGCCTCTGTGCCCTGTTGCTGGTCCTCCAGAGGAACTGGTTGGCCAGTATGTGAGACAGGATTCTGGACTAGATGGACTCTTACTGGTCTGATCCAGCAGGGGTCTTTCTATGTTCTTAAAGTAGTCTGCAGTAGATTCAAGTCCAGTAGGAGTTCGGAGATCAACAAGATACTTGAGGTATGAGTTCATATGCTGAAAAACTTGTTGGTCTCTAGTTGCTACCGGACCTGAATCTAGCCGTTCAGCATTTTTAAGGTTAATCAGTTAGTGGACTGTGAATCTCGCAGGAACCTCTGTGGTGGAATTCACACAGCTGGTCTTAAGTTGCTAGACTTCAATGGAGGGTTCGCCTCCCCAGCTGTGTGCCAGAGTTCCCCCCTACCACATAACAGGATTTCTTCTCTGCTGTCCCCAGCAGGTTGAAAGTTAGAGGCGTGTTTGTCTAGTAAGCTACAACTCATACACTGCACTTCTGTCTCTTATTCAGTTTTAAGAATCACCACCCAAAGGACTTCCTTGATGGCCTACCATCCGAATACTAGCCACTTCTTAGCTTCTTAAATCTGATATCAGGCTAGCCTGAACATTCTAAAACACAGTACAATGATTGGATTTCTGCATCTTTTCACTGAAGCAATTATTTTCTGATGTTTCTGTTGTGGTGTTGTTAGACCTCAAGCTTAACAGCAATATCAAGTATCTTCTCCCCTGTATTAATCCCCAGCCTCCTTTTGGGTGTTTACTCAGATGGTTTCTGGAGACCATGTTAACCAGATGAGGCAGCCTGGCTGTTTTGTAAGGATGTAGGAATCCTGAACATTGGAGTCTGGATTTGAAGTCCAGGCTCGCTTCGAGGAGAAAGGCAATGGCAAACCATGAGGAATTTCAGACAGACGATATAATCCAGAAGAGGAACGGTTCCCAAATGGTTTCTGGTCAGTCATTTCAGACAGAACCGTTTTAGATCCGGTTCCCTTCCGGAATGGAATATATTTGTAATTTCAGACACAAACGCTTCTGTCCCGTTTAGGAAACGGGGTTGAAGCGTTTTACCTGTCAACTGCTTCCAAGTAGTCTTCAGTTTCCTCTCCCGGTTCCAATGCGCTTTTCCCCAATGTTTTTCACCCAAGCGTGCGAACTCCGTCTTTTTTTTTAACATTCGCTTTATAGCGCTATAGCGCTATAACGGAACAGCAGTATATCAATGCCATTGGAATGCCTGGAGTGTTTTGTTATAGTGCTATAGCGCTATAAAGCGAAAGTTAAAAAAAAAGGCCAAGATATCCCGCGTGGGCGGAAAACGGCCGGGGGGGGGGGGAAGCGGGGCAGTCTGAAATGGCAAACCGCTTCAGATCCAGCTCTTTACCAGAAGGGGAAAGCCATGTGTGAAATGGCAGCCCTATACCTGCTTACTCCATGACAGATCAAAAACGGCTTCAAAACGGGTTAAAACGGGTAATGTGAAATTCCTCCATCTCTGTTCATCTTGCACCTTGGAAGTTCTATGGGGTCACCGTAAAATCAGCTGCGACTTGACAGCACTTCCCACCACCAATTTCAAATATATATTCCACGACACTCACTACTAAAAAGTTCAGTTTCATTTTACAGATATTCTATGCCTCTCCGTGAGCCTGTGCTGCATGTTTGCCGCCTTAACATTCCCTCAGAAACTGTGCAAAGGACGAATTTCGATCCTTTGAAAGTGCTGGCTTAGAAACAATATGCAGAATATCTAACTAGGAACGGCACACATTTCCTTTTCCACTCTGAGCACCGGACAGCAAGCTAACCATTTAACCCAACTTAATCTCATGAGTATTCAAGGAAGTATTTCGAAGGAACAGATGGGAAAGAACGCCGGCCATGGACTGAACGTGAACGTCCAATAAACACTAAAAGGAAGAGCCATTCAATTTATAGGAGAATTAAGCTAGTATTATAAACAGAGGACAAAGTCTTAATCAAAACTGGTCTCTGCTTTTTTTAAAAAACCCACCTTCGGAGATGTTCAAATGTATGATAAGATTAAAACAGAACAAACTTCAGGGATTACATCAAATCGGTTCCAGTTGTATCTGCGGCCATACTAATCCACTATTCAGGCACAGCCTAATTAACATGCCAGTCTTAATTGGCATATCATCCCTGCATTGTGTCCCCCCAAAACGAACAAGGTGTAATTATGTTAAAAAGAGCACTTCGATGGTTTCGGTTTAA